CCCGCGGGGCTGGGAGCCGGGGGGTCCGCCGGGCCCGCTGGGCTGGGAGCCGGGCCGGGGTCGGGGAGCTGGGCCCGTGGGGCTGTGAGCCGGGGGGTGCGCCGGGCCCGCGGGGGGTGGTCGGTCGGGGCCGGCACCCCAGGGCCCGAGCCAACCCAGGCTGGAGCCGCCGTGGGGCCAGCCTGGGCCGCGCCTCCTCCCCCCCGCCCCCCTTACCTGCTTCAGGCTTCCCGCGAATTAAATGTTCGCGGGAAGCAGGGGAGGGGGCGGAGACTTTGGGAGGGGGCAGAGTTGGGGCGTGGGCGTGGGCGGGGCTGGGGGCGGGGCCAGGGCCCCGGGGAGTGTCCTCCATTTGGAGGCACAAAATATGGTAACCCTATTTTAACTTTTCAAACAAATTAAATCTTTTACTGTGACCTTGTGTCTGAACATGTCACTTAAAATCACTATCCTCAGTCACATAACACAGGTGTCAATCAAAAACATACTAAAGGAGGGGGTTGAGGCATTTGTGCAGTGCTGTCCAGGTTTGTTTACAGCTCCTTTGCAATACAAAAAAGCCCACTCTAGTTTAATGATTCTCCTTATTAATTCAAAGGAAAATTGCCCAGATTGTGAAACGTGCCGTACATTTTTCAGGTGCAACTCAGGAAGGGTGGAGGCGCAGACAACTTTAAGCCACCTTTGCACTCACCCAACACTGACGCTGCTATGCGTGGGGCTAGTCCCCAGGAACAGTCTAGAGCAGTTCTCTTGTACCTAACACAGACAGTTAAAAAACAAAAACAAAAAAACAGCGCTGAAAGAGGACAGGTGAAAGAGGAAAAGGTGAGAATCCAGAATAATCTAAATACCAGAGGTCAAAATGTGGTCGGATGACCTACATTATCCATTGTGGAGGAATGTACAGACTGAAATACATAATATTCAAAGAAACCGGAGACAAACTGTACAAAGTCGGAAGCTAAATCCTGACCTTCAGCTCAGAGGCAAGATATGCCTCTCAACCTTGCATAAGAATTGTTAAAACTCCATATTTGCTTGGAAGCAAGTTCCTCACAATTATGATCTAGATCTTTGATCAGACAAATAACTTATTCTCCCTATTTTAAATAAGCAAACCCCTTCTTTAAAAGGGAAATACCTCTCCCTTCTGCAAAACACTCTCTGCCAATAACTTCTCCCCACAAAATAATTAAAACCCAAAAAACAACTTATTTATGACCAACCTCCTCAGTAATATGCCTTCCCTCCCACCAAGCACTGTCACCAACAAAATCATATTAATTTTCTTGCCTGCCCAACAAACCCCAATCCAAAACACCTCCCTTTTCCAAAGGGGGCATACAAGTTATCTGCAGAGTTCACAGAAGCCTAATGGTTCTATGCTTAGTGGCCTAATCATGAGAATAGAATCCTGCTACAAGACAGCCAGGTCTTCTTATCTTCTCATGAACAGGTTCATTTTAATTAAACCTGCCTGACTCCACAATCAGCCCGCATTAAAATTGCCCCCAGCAGCGAAAGGGTCATGGCTCATTTCTGTCCAGCCCTCAAGTCAAAGTACTACGAGGTTCCTTCTGGTAATGGAATGCCTCCCCATTCTGCCAACCCAGCCTTCATATATGTGGCCAGTTTCCTGGCAGCATGTTTCTGCACCTCAGATAAAACATATACAGAGTGTCACTTTTTTCCCTTGCAATATGTACCTTCACACATTGCCAATCAGATCTGAGTTAACTTACTTTGAAAGGTACATCTACACTAGCAACTGCCCACGTTTTCAAGCGTGTGGTTGTCCCAGACTCCCCCTATTGTCCACATCTAAAGCCCTGAAGCACTTGTCAGAAGGTGAGTACTCGGTGAGTAAACTAGCATACCTGAGGTGTGTGAGTAAATACACCTTGGGCTGCAGAATGGCTCCATACCCATGCCGGTGTGAAGCGTAGACAGATGTAAGAGGCATATACAAGGTCTTGAGTTTCAATAGTCCTCCACCCCCATTCCCACAGTGCACTGAACCCTTTTCTTCCTCACCCTTACCCGGTCTTTGAAGGTCCCTGTATCCCCTACCATCACCAGCCTATTTTCAGCAATAGTAGCAAGCTGCACCGACCACATGAGAACCGTTCTCTGCTGCACGCTTTTGTTCAGTACACATGAACATGGATCCTGCTCCAAGAACAGCCCTTGCCCAGCCAACCACCCCCAGGTGCAGTCCACATGTGGTTGGAGTACACTGTCCTCCATATTTCTTCACCCAGAGCATCAGGAATATTCACCTGTATCAGGAAATTTCAGAGGTTGGAGCTGGAGAGCACTGAATCAACTCTGGCTCAGTGCCAGGAACGCATCAAGTGCCTGAGGCTCCTTTACAGGAAGGCAAAAGACTAACAGACATTCCAGAAGGGCTCATTGTACATGACTCTTCTGTGACAAGCTGGACTGGCTGCTGTCAAAGGCTCCTGGTTCAGAGCTTAAAGTGGCTCAAGACCCCTTCCTCAACTCCACCATCCTCATTGTTCAACAGGATACCCCGGTCACGGCAAGGAGGCAGCAGGGACATGGAGGATGACATATTCCTTGTCTTCCAGGGCATTTTGGACCTCTACCTGCAGGAGCCAGTTGAGCAATTCCCCCACTCCTCCAGCTGTGGCAGGAAACAGACCCCACAGCTGGTAAGTTACAAAGGATCTACACCCTCCCCACCAATATCCCCTCTTGTTCTGTTGCTACATTGCTGATTTTAAGCCTAGCATTTGCTCCAGTCACTCTACCCAAAATTGGCCCCGAGCAAGACCTGGCTATAATAACTGATTTTTATTGATTTCCCATGAACCACTATTATGCATTTGGCAGAAACTAGAAAACAGATTATTAAGGAACAATCTTTGTGCCCTTGTAGCTGTGCATTTCTCAGCCAGCATGCAGGCAGCAAAGCTCCGCAGGGCAGTGCAGACTGGAGGAAGGGAGAGGGATGGTTTAGAAAGGTCCCAGTTGGGTGATGAGACACCTGTAGAAAAACATATAATTGGTTGCCATAAATTAGTAAGAGCTGCCTTTTGTCCCTTGGAAGATTACATAGTTTCACTGAATTTCCCCCCCCGCCCCCCATCCCAGATCTTACTGTCCCCTTACAAACAGCAGCTATGCATAAATGGGGGTTAGGTCTGGGAAGGGAACACTTAGGTTGTCTGAGGAATGTCACAGCAGTCCTTTCTCCCTTGAAAGATTATAAAAATTGTTAGCGTTCCTGTTGCCTGGCCTCTCCACGCACCTCACCATACTGCATAAGCTGGAATAAACAGGGATGGGGGAAGGATCTGGCCTGTTGGTCACACCCTTTTGCTGTGACGAGGCAAGGGGCTTGTGATGCTAATCTGAAACTTTACGGAACAAAATAAAGTTGTGGTGGGTCTCTTTCTTTCCCATCCATTTTGCCCTTCTTAGCCAGGCCA